CTCTCTCTCTCTCTCTCCAATACAAGGAGATAAGAGTTTGGGGAGGTATCAGGTCATGAGAGTGGAGCCCTTATGAATGATATTAATGCCCGTATAACTTTTTTTTTTGGTACCGGAGATCGAACTCGGGTCCTTGCGTTTGCGCAGCAGGCGGCGAAACCACTGAGCTAAATCCCCGGCCTTTGCCCATATAACTCTTTACAGACATTATGCAGGAGCACTTGCTTCCTATCTGTCTGCTTTCTGTCATACAAGGTTGCAACCAGAACGTAGACATCAGACATCTGCAAACCAAGAAGTGGATCCTCATCATACAGTGGGTCTTCCAGCACTTGATTTTACACTAACAGCTACCAGAACTATGAGAAATAAATTTCGATTGTTTAAGCCACCAAGTCTGTGGTATTCTGTCATAGCAGCCTGAACTACACTTGATCTAAGCCAAAGGGCCAAGAGGCGATATAGCAGCCTGAACTGAGATATTATCCTAGTTTGACATCTTCTAACAATGTATCACTGCTGATGATGTGACTAGCCTCTAGCCAGCAGATTGGGGCTGACGGGTGTGAATGCCTACCTAGATCCAAGCAGGTTTGCCACAAATCCTTGAGCACTATATATACACATTAAGAGGAATAATATTTTTAATAGAATAGAATCATATGAATTGATACTCTGTTGACTGTAGAAGGTGAGGAAGAAGGAAAAGTCAAGGATAATCAGAAATTTGGAAGCTGTGAAGATGTAGGGGTAGATAATGTAGTCAGGTTGGGGCATGTTGACTGTGATGGTCCTGTGGGACACAGAGGTGAGTGTGGTCAATATTGGTTATAATGGTGTAGAGACCAGGAGGGAGGTCTGAGAGGAGAGGTGATGGTCAAAGCCACAAGCCTGGATAATATTGCCAAGAAAATCTTAGGATTAGAAGACAAATCGCAGGAAGGAGTCCTGGAGAGTACTAACATTTAAGGGTTGGACATAGCAAGAGGAGCCTGTGAAAGGTACTAAGTAGATTCAGATAGAGGACCAGGAGAGAACAGTATCCCAGAAAGCAGAGAAAATGATGGCTTCAAAAATAGGAGAGTAGCCAGGGATTTAGCTCAGTGGTTTCGCTGCCTGCTGTGCAAGTGCAATGACCCGAGTTCAATCCCTAGTACCAAAAAAAAAAACTTTCCACCTGCAGAAAAATAGGAGAGTAGTTGACGATGCCAAAATTAGGAGCAATGTTGAGAAAGGCAACAAATAAAAGTGAATGTACTCTAGATCCAGTGAGATTTGACAATTAGGAGGCTTGATGATCTTAACATGAACAATTTCAGTGGAACCAAGGTCAAGGGAGTGAGGGACTAGACTTAGAATTAATAGAAGCAAATGTTAAGTAAGGAAAAGGAGGCCACAGCTACAAATTACTCTTTCTACAAGTCTAGATATGAAGAAAAGGGCTGGGGCACTCAGGTTTGAAGAGTTGGTGTAGGGTAGAGAAGACAGAAAAGAATTCTATACTGATTCATATGGAGAGATTAGAGATACAGAAAAGAAACATAGCTATTGAGGGACAAATCTCAGAAGAGACTGGTCATGTGGAATCCAGAGTATGGGGAAAAAAATCCAACCTCACTAAGGGCAGGGGTACCTACTCCTCTGAGAAAAGGATAAAGAAGATGAATACAAGCTTAGATGGAGGCAAATCTACAAATGAAGGAAGCAGAAACAATTCTATGTAGTGTAGAATTTCAAGTTCCATTGGATACCTTGGGCATTTGGTAAAGAATTTGAGAGACATCATGAAAGTGTAGAATAGCCAGTGTGAAAAATATGAGGGAGCCTTAATTAGGAACATGGCCTCAAATAACAAGTAGACTAGAAATGTATCCATTATTAGACATGTAGACTGACTTTAGACTTTAACCTCCATAAAGATATTGACCTTCTGTACCTGGTTCCATGCTATATCCACAGTGCCTAACACAGTGCCTGGCATATGGCAACAGCTCAATTTATAAACACCTGAAATGTATAGCAGCAACAGCTTTTACTGTATGATTGTATCCTATTGTTTTCACAGTGTGAATATTGAATTGAACGTTGAAAAGGAGTTTCTGGAGAAAGAAAAAGAATATTGAGGCATTGAGCTGAGTGGCTGGCCAAAGAGTAGATAAAAGGATATCAGATGGGACACAAATGAGACAGAAACAGACACAAATTATCTGCATACCTTTTTAAATTAAACTCCCTATCTATAATTAAGAAACACATTTCAGCAGTACAATGAAATAAAAACATTCAATCACAATAGTAATTTTAAAGCTCTCAGCCAATGTGGGAATGACTGTACAATTTCCCCCCGCATTTTCAGCCCTATCTGATGCATTGTGGCTCTTTTCAACCCTTAAGCATCTCATTCTCTGACTCCAAGAAGGAGTCAAGGGGTGAAGGTTCACTGGGGAACAGCCGCCTGACTCCCAGCAAAGCCATCCCCCAGAGCCAGTCTTGGAGATATGGATCTTGTGGCCTCAGCCAGTGATTGTCCAGAAAAACTCAAACCCTTCCTTCAGGTGAGCTATGTGGCAGGCAAGATTCAGAGCAGCATGTGTGGTCAGCAGTTCCAATTATCAGGAGAGGGAGTGCCAGAAAAAAATGGTGTCTGTGCCAGAGACAGCCTGGCACAAGCACTATGAGCCTCCAGTGCCAGACTACTTGGAACTGTTATTCTTACAGCAGTCTTAGGAGTAAGGGTTTAGGCATGATGCAGGATTCCTACAGGACCAAGGAACTCTGTGGGTGAACTTTAATGAAGGACTCATTTAAGTGCTCCCTACCTGGATGCCTGTATCCACCTCTGCTGCCAAAAGCTAGAGAAGAACTTTATCATTCAAGAATGACCCCAAGCTTCCTATCAGCTCTGGGTGGTAAAGGGAGCCAGCTTTCTCCTTTCTTCACCCCTCCCATCATATTGGTGTCCCCTGAACCAGGATGAGTAGGGTGGCAGATGAATGCTGCTGTGACTTCTGACCCTACATTAAACTCCAAGATGCAGAAATGACTCACACAACTGCTAAATGAAATAAAGAACCTTTGGAGGGTTTTGCCAGCTGCAGGTGAGGATGTTCATTTCCCAGAGGAGAGGTACAACTT